GCAGCATATCTCCAAATACATATTTTTTAAAGGGTCTTGCATCAAAATATAGACTTATTCCATTTTTTGGATTTTTGTGTGTTTTCCTGCTAGGTTCCATACTTAATTTAGCATCTTCTTAAATTCCCTCATACGTCTTTTAATTATGATTGGAATTTGTTTAAACAAATACCAAAATTAGATTCGTAATATTTTGCTTACAACAACACTTTCAATATTAAATTAATGAATTTCAAAAGTATGGACCAATCAGTGTCAGTCTGATACAAACAATGTAATATGATTGGCAATGAACTTTAATTAAAATTGGGTTATCCGAATAAATATAATATGTGTACAGTAAAATGTTTTTTTTTTCTTTTTTTTTTGAATACGAGAAATGTAAATGTTAAAAGCTTGTTAAAATAGTGGGATAAATTAAAAACTTTCATATTTTTCAAAACAATAGAAAAACATGCATTTTTAGGTTAAAAGCGGACAAAATTAGCCTAACTTGGACAAAATCCTCAGAACGAAAATATCCCACAAATAATACTTCGGTATAGCTTCACTCCATTTGCGGTTTTAAGCCGAATTTTCATATTGACTTCCACGAGTCGCCCTGATGGCCCAATGTTGTCTATGGCTACAAAAATTCGCAGAGGGATAGACTAAAACAAACAACCACACGATGGTTATTGACAGGAATAGGGAGGACATTTTTAAAAAAAAGAAACTTTGGACTTAATGTACATTTGTCCATTTTCAAATTTGTCATTCCGTTCGCAACACAGCGGAATAATCGTCGGAAGTACCTATGAGAATTTTTAACATTCTTTCAAAACTCCATTAAAAATTTAAAAAAAAATTGTTGCGCATTTTGACGTTTTTTTGCCACGCTTTTAACTGAGTTAGTTGGAATTTGGTAATTTGAGTTGTCAATGTTGGTCCATATTGTAAGGTAGTCCATATGTAACGGTAGCTCCTAATTTTGTTGATATAATTCGAATCTACACTAATTATAGAATGTGCCTACAAAATTTCAAATGAAAATCTCAAGAACTCTTGAAGATATAGCCGATTTATTGTGTCAGCATCAAGTGACGGCTGAAGGGCTTTTCAAACTTTAAACGCGTTTTTCTCTAAATATTTTTTTGCGAATGGCGGGCACGATAACACAAAACCTAATAACCCAATCGATTTCAAATTTTTACACGTTTCTCTGTGAGTGTATAGCTATCGTATGAACTAGGATAAAGCCAATCGGTGAAGATCTTCCTCATTATACCCTTCACCACACTGTGGTACAGGGTATTATGTCTTTGTGCATATGTTTGTAACAGGCAAAAATAATCGAGATAGACCCATGGTTCCTTTTGAGAATATGCATAGAATCACTTTCTGAGTCGATTTACGCATGTCCGTCTGTCCGTCCGTCCGTCCGTCCGTCCGTCTGTCCATGTTAAATTGTAAACAAAGTACAGGTCGCATTTATGATCCGAATTGGATGAAATTTGGCATAGGTCACTTATTTGGCCCAAGGACGAACCCTATTGAAATTGGGAAAAATCGGTTCAGATTTAGATATAGCTCCCATATATATATTTAACCGATTTAATGTAAACAGTCCCTATATAACTTTCGATTTGCACGAAATTTGGTACAGCCTAATCATTTAGGTCTAGAATGATGTCTGCCAAGTTTCGTGAAAATCGGTCCAGATTTAGATATAGCTCCCATATATAGTTTCGTCCGATTTCATGTAAATGGTGCCCCAAAGTCCCTATATATCTTTTGATTTGCACGAAATTTGGCATAACGTACTGAATTAAGCCTAGAGTGATGTCTGCCAAGTTTCGTGAAAATCGGTCCAGATTTAGATATAGCTCCCATATATAGTTTCGTCCGATTTCATGTAAATGGTGCCCCAAAGTCTCTATATATCTTTCGATTTGCACGAAATTTGGCATAACGTACTGAATTGAGTCTAGAATGGTGTCTGCCCAGTTTCAAGAAAATCGGTCCAGATTTAGATATAGCTCCCATATATAGTTTCGTCCGATTTCATGTAAATGGTGCCCCAAAGTCCCTATATATCCTTCGATTTGCACGAAATTTGGCATAACGTACTTAATTGGGCCTAGAATGATGTCTGCCAAGTTTCATGAAAATCGGTCCCGATTTAGATATAGCTCACATATATAGTTTCGTCCGATTTAATGTAAATGGTGCCCCAAAGTCCCTATATATCTTTCGATTAGCACGAAATTTGGTACAGCCTAATCATTTAGGTCTAGAATGATGTCTGCCAAGCTCCGTGAAAATCGGTCAAGATTTAGATATAGCTACCATATATAGTTTCGTCCGATTTCATGTAAATTGTGACCAAAATCCATATATATCTTTCGATTTGCACGAAATTTGGCATAACGTACTGAATTGAGCCTAGAGTTATGTCTGCCAAGTTTCGTGAAAATCAGTCCAGATTTAGATATAGCTCCCATATATAGTTTCGTCCGATTTCATGTAAATTGTGCACCAACATCCATATATATCTTTCGATTTGCCCGAAATTTTGCACAACGTACTGAATTGAGCCTAGAGTGATGTCTGCCAAGTTTCGATAAAATCGGTCCATATTTCTATATAGCTCCCATATATAGTTTCGTCCGATTTCATGTAAATGGTTCACCAAAGTCGCTATATATCTTTCGATTTGCACGAAATTTGGCATAACGTACTGAATTGAGCCTAGAGTGATGTCTGCCTTGTTTCGTGAAAATCGGTCCAGATTTAGATATAGCTCCATTTTATTATAGATTGATTTTATGTAATTAACGCACCAAGGAACCAATAGGAACAAAACGTTCTAAAGTTAGTATAACCTAACCTGTGACAAGTTTGTTTGAAATCGCTTAATATGTGGATATAGCTTACATATATATTTTCGCCCGATTTCAAGTAAATTGGGCATCAAACTCCTCATGTTAGTCAGATTGACATCAAATTTTGCACAACGTACAAAATTGAGCATAGAATTACGTAGTTGCGTTTTCTAGAAGTACAGACATAGTCAACCGGATGACCTATTTATATTTGTTTGAAGTCGATTTACACACTTTATGGACAAATCTAGGTAGATTCACATTTAGATAAATATCACATATTTTATTTCATCCAATTTCATGTTAATAGTCCTGTTTAATGTACCCATAGTGGTGAAGGGTATCCTAGAGTCGGCCCCGTCCGACTTTACTACTTTCCTTACTGGTTTTTTAACTTGGGTTTTGGTAAAAAATCGGCGATTTTCCAAAAATATTTTTTCAAAGGTCCATCAGTTTGTTAATTTTAGAGCGAAGTCAATAATCCTAGTTCATACGAGAGCCAGACATGTACTCTTTCTAACACCGTTGGAATTTTCGGATTCCGATGTTCCAGTGAGGAGTTATCATGCCCGCCATCAAAAATAAGTGCTTTTCTTTAATTACAAAAAACAACAACAAAACAACAACAACATTTTTTTGTAAATTATTTTTCTTCTATTTTAAATCTTCAGTTATATATGTGTAAAGTTACAAACCTTAACAAGCATTGGTATTGATTTACCAGCCCATTGAAAATCTTGAAAAATTAAAATCGAGAATGAGTGGGGTTCCCTTAAGTCCATTTTAGGTTCTGATACACATCTTGGGTTTCTAGAAAAGTTTAGAAAACATATAATGTTATATTTATACCCTTAGCCTTATGGCAAATGACGGTGAAAATGTGCCTCATCGAAATATTGGTTTTAGACCGCATGTTTCTTTGGAGCAAATCCGTTTAGAACATTTGGAGTCGATTTACACATGTCCGTCCGTCGGTATGTCTGGCTGGCTGGTGCGCACGATAATAATATTTCTTCCAAACTTAGTTCAAAGATGGGGACTATCGGTCCACTCCTTCTGGTACCTCCCCCACAAAATCGTGCTAAAAATTAATTTTATAATAGCATGCAAACGTACTATCCGATTTTAACGAAACTTTGTACAACCTATTGTCTTTACCAAGCCTAGATCAAGTTTGAAGATAGGACCCATTGGTCCACTCTTTCTGGTACCTCCCCCACAGAGGTTCAACATTTTCAATATTTATAATACCAATATCAAGCTAATATCTTTACCAGCCCTATATCAATTCCGAAGTTGGGACCAGTAGTCAACTCCTTCCGGTACCTCCCTCACAAATGGTCAATGTTTTATAAAATTTTATCAACATTAAATCCAAAACCTCTTTGATAAAAACATATTTTTTATATAAAACTAATAAAAAATCTGTGTGTAATTCCGAAGACCTCCACAAACCATAGGTTGGGGTATATATCTGTCAGCAACACCGACTGACACTTTTTTAATTGTTTTAAAACAAATCAAACTCAAACTTTTAAATATCTCAATACAAGAAAAAATTGACTTAAACCACTTTCAAAATAAACGACTCATATGTTGATTTGTCATTTCCCTACCAAAAATATCAACATCATTGGTGTTAATATGATATTCCAGGTGTTGGTATACCTCCCATATAATGGAACCGCCTCTTTTGTTTTCTGAAGGTTTTAGCCAAAGTAACAATAATTTAGCATAGCTGACTTGAGTATATCTCCATTTCATAACTCAGCGCCATCTATATTTAAATACATAACGGTTTATGCTGATGATTATTCAAACGTTGAAAATCATTGTCAAAAAGCTTTTTGTGGAGATTAATAACATTTCACAAATGGTAAAGAAGCTTTCGTTTAACATTATTTTTTTGGTAAATGGAACCAACAAAGATCTACAAGAACGTCAATCAGTCAGTATCTAGACAATCTCCCCAACGAGAACATCCACAGAATACGCAAAAACTAGATCAGCCTTCAGTAGTACAGCAACAACAACGGCACTGATGAAAGTAAAACGAAATGTGAGCGTCTTGTTTGCTTGTTACCGCAAAGAAAAGAAAGAAAATAACAACACGCTGATATTGTAAAAGCCAAAACACAACAGATACAACCATCGCCAAAGTGAAAAAATGTACCAAAGTGACGTCGATGAAAACGGTTATAATGCCAACAAAAAAGAGGTAACAACCGCAGATAATGTTTTCCATTTCGTATTGTTTTGTTGTTATTGACTTGCTCCCATTTCAAAATAAAAACAAAACAAATCTCTGTTCTCTATCGGCCTATTATCTTTTGAATACTATATTGTGTTTTTATTTTCATTCATTGATCGTCGTCATCACCTTTGTGTGATGCAGCTGAATTTGTCGCACCGCAATCTGCGAGAACTTGACACCGCCATCATTGCAGCCCACGGCGAATGCATCGAATACTTGGACATCAGCCACAATCGAGTATCGCGATTGGAATGGCTTTACCAAATGCCAAACTTACGCTGCTTAATAATGGATGATAACCGTTTGCGCGAAAACCATTTTGAAAAGCTGAAGAAAGTCTCGCTGCCAAAGATCACAACATTAACTTTAAATAAAAATGAGGTGAGTTTGTGAATTTGGAGTTAATTGCACAGTGGTACGATGTTATCGACATATTGTTAATGTTATTATTATTAGTGTCCCTAATGAATAAGGAATTTCATTTATTTCATTCACCTGTATTATGATCCTTTCGACTTTTTTTACCCTCAGCCTTATGGCTAATGAGTGTATATACACTTTGCTAAGGAAAAATGTCACTCATCGAAATATTGGGGTTTAACCATATTTCTATGGACTAAATCTGTTTCAGACAATTTGGAGGTGATTTATAAATGTCCGTCCGTGCTATATATATATATATATATATACACTAAAGAGTAAAAAAGTACTAAATGTGGTACCATTTTTTATTTGGCGAACCGGTGGAGCTAGAACTCTGACATTTGGATTGGGGGTTACTGATGGAGTGTAGGATAGATGTACCAAAGGGTCTTTGGACATTCGAACTATAAGTATACAAAAAATACTAAAATGTACTAAATTTGGTGCAATTTCGTAGAATGTGAATGAAAAGAACTAAAAATATGAAATTTTGAATGCGAATTAGGATCGATATAAGGAGATAGTTTTCAGATGGTAGAATACCTCCTCACAGAAATCTTTTTAATATGGGCCGATGTTTCGAACTAGTCCCCATGAAAAGGTCCCGTTTTTATAGTGGTCTAAACTACGCGATCTTCCATTTTTTTATTTAAAAATAATTTTTGGCTTAAAAAATAAATAAAAATTTAAATTCACTGATTTTAATTATAACTAAACGTAAATTTTTGTTGTGGAAAATAAAGATCCATATAACTTCTTTATATTTGAGAACAACAAATTGTTTGACTCTTGTGCTTAAAAATGTTCAAATTACAGATTTCAATCAGAGGTAAACTAAATTTTAAACATTGCAATTATGTATTCAAAATAATGTTAGATATTTGTTTCACTAATAGGGAAAGCATATATCAAGGCAGCATTGTCATATTTCAAGTATTTTTTAAGATATAGCGGTGGTCTACATTAGACGCAGAGGCCACATTACCCGAAATTCCTCTACTCAATTCGGTACTCTATACTAGATATATTTTCAATTCTATGAATATTCTCAATAGTAACTATTTGCATCTCTATACATTTCGGTGGAAAAGATATGTATTGGAAACCAGTTACATATTATTTTATCCGAAATAAATATCACACATTTGCAACAGAAGACATCTTAACCACTGTGTTCCACTAGAATGCAATGCATTATAAAATGTTTAATAAGAATTCATTTTACAGTTGAGTGATTTGGATTCAACTGCCGAAATGCTTAAACAAATATTTCCAAATTTGGAGTATTTGAGTTTGCATGGAAATCCAATGTGTCCGGACGATTTGTGTCTGCAGCCGTTCAGTGAATTTGTGCCCTACGAATATGCCCATTACAGGTAAATATGAAAATATGACAAAATTATGCAAATATTTGGTATAAAGTAGCACAAGCTTAAGAGCAAAACAGTTACCCTCTGTGTATGGAAAGAAGGAAGAAAATTAATAAATTTACATTTTTTTCTGATTATGAACATATTCTTATACATATTTCATACTATAGAAAAGAAATACATTACTATTGGTGCCTATTTTCCCTGTCTTCAAGGACACACTTTAATGGAAAGTTTTCAAAAAGCAATTTGTTGAAGATAAGGTCCAATTCTATAAGACCCATAAATAAGCTTAAATGTTCCATTTCTTTATGATGAGAAATATTATTAAAAATACTTCTGATTTATTCTATATTCATTCGAGCTGAACGACTGTGAATATTGAAATGAAAAATGGTAATTTCCATTGACCTCGTAACACCGTATCAATTAATTGTAGATCGTATTTATTCATGTTCAGATTTACATAAAGACACTAGCAAACGTGAGAATTATTTAAACATATCTAAATATATTATTTTGAGACCATAATTAAAATTTTAGTACTATTTAGGATCCCAAAAAAATTTCAGGATCCCAGCTCTATCGGTTCACCCAAAATTCAAATTGTGCCAAATTTAATACATATAAGTATGAATTTTCCAAACTAAGTATGAATTTTCCAAACTACCTATATCATACAACCAATGGAAATCTTATTTCCCGATTTCAGGATTCCAGCCCTATCAGTTCAACCAAATACAAATTGTAACATATTTAGTACACATTAGTATCAATTTCCAAAATTTTCTACAAAGCACATCGTGCACCCCAACAGTGATCCTATCTTCAAATTTCAGGATCCCAGCTCTATCGGTTCACCCAAAAATCCAATTTAGTAACCATATGTACGAATTTCTAAAACTACATCCACATCCCAATCCTACTCTCCAAAAGTAACCTTATTTCCAAATCTCAGTGTTCCAGCCCAATCGATAAACCGATCAAAATTGTTCCAATTATAGTACGATTTAGTAGTTACACATAAGTAAAAAATTTCCAAAACTACGTATATATCCCAGTCCTAAATTCCGACATTAATGTTAATTTCAAATTTCATGATTCCAACTTCATCCGTCTCTCTAAATTCAAATTGTTCCACATTTAGTACAGTTTAGTACTTTTCGTATACATGAGTAGACGCTTTCAAAACCATCTCCTAACATCAACCCTACTTCTCAACCTTAATTCGCGTTCCAAATTTCATGTTTATAGCTCAATTCATTCACTTGATATGAAATTGTACTAAATTTAGTACATTTTAGCACTTTTCGGATACTTATAGTTCAAGTGTCCAAAAAAACCCTTTGCTATATCTATTCTACACTCCATCAGTGACCTGGCATCTGTCATCTTTGGACCAAGAGTGACCCACACCCCAAAATTCAATTATTAGCATTGATTTTTGCGGAAATTTTATAATTTTAAACGAGAGAGTTTGAGAAGATGACACTTTACTCTTCACTCACTTACCGGCAAAGTTATAAATTCCCTAAATTATAGCATATTTGAATCAAATATGAAATCCAATCTTAACAATCTTCTTTTATAACTAATTCCACACCAAATCACATATCTCTTTGTAGTAAACATTTTTGCCTAATTGCTAATTTTTGATTTCGATTTTTCAGAGACGTTCTATCAAAAGCCTTGCCCCGCTTGCGATTTTTAGATCATTTTTCATTGGACTCTAAACATCTGTTCAAAGAGAGTCAGTGCAATAAACAGGAAAAATCGCATTCTGGTCATAGTCCACTCGCATCCTTTTCTGGTGATTTGTGGTCAAAAATTAAGAATTTACTATCAGTTCCCAATGACAACAACCGCGCTGAACATAATAAAAATAATCATCGGTTTGTGTCACCCTTACGTAAGTTTGCAACATTTTTGTTTAATTTTGTTATTAACAATTTGGACATATTTCTATTTTAGCACCTGCTTATGATCCGACCTATAGAGGGATACATTCGGAAGGCAATCGCTATATAACAAATTCCGATTTATAAAAACAAGTCGTGGGGCGCCACAGTTTCTATTTTTTTTTTTCTAATTTAATAATCGAATATTTTCAAAGAAAATAAAAAAGTTTAAATATTTTTTGCCTAGTTTTGAAATAAATTTGTATTTAATTCCAAATTTAAAGGAAGAATATTGCCATTGAGCGGAAATTACATGCACCACGGAAATAAATGAAAATTAACTAAAATTAAATTGTTTTTTTTTTAACACAGCAGCGCCATCTAGTAGAATCCAGACATGTCCTATATCACACGCACAAACCATATTTTTTCTCTCCAAATACACAAACGAAATCAACAACCATCCAGATAATAAATAAGATAATGTACATAAACACGCAAACAATATAGAGAAAGCTTCATACTAACACAAGAGTAGCCACATCGTTTGACAAATGTGGGATAAGAAATTACAATTGTTCTATAATAAGTAGACGTAATTAGTTAAAAATTCTATACAACGGATATAAAGACATTTCATTCTAAAACATATATGAATATACTAGCGGGCCCGGCAAACGTTGTCTTGCATAGCATTATTGTTGATGTATAATTCACAAATATAATTCAAGATAGCCCAATATTAAGCTACACTCCACCATTTAAGATAGTGCTCTGAAATTTGCACATACATTGCTACTACTCCTACGATTTGGTATTGAAAATGTTCAATATTAGTTCACTATTTAGGGTATCCCCATATAACGGTAACCTCAATATGAGAAATTGTAACGATTTTATCAACAGAATTGGTTGTAATTTAGCAGAAAGTGTCCGTACCAAATATTATCAATATTGGCATATGTTTCGGAGTACCGCCTATATAATGTTAGCCCTAAACATTCAGTATTTTGAAGATCTTGGGCACGGTTTTCAACAGCATTGCTTTTAATTTAATATAAGGGATAGTCCTTGAGCAGAAAATCTCTCTACTTAAAATTATCAATATTATATCAGTATTTGGCTGTATTTTCATATTTTGGATGATCATTGAGTTGAAAATGTTCCTAACAAAGCTTCCGAAATGCCTCCATATAATGGCACTCCACATTATACGATCCTTTGGGGGTTTGGACACGTTTTTCAACCTAATCAGCTGTAATTGGTTGTTGTATTTGGTAGCATGAATCCTACTAAAATTGTCAATATCAGTTCACTCTTCTGTATTTTGGGGGGTTTAGCCACGTCTTAGAACAAAATTGGCTGTAATTTTATATTTTAGACGATCAGTGAGTACAAAATCTACTTACTTAAATTGATTCAAGTTTCCGGGTAGCACCCATATAATGGTATCCCCTCATTTTATCATGTGGCGTCACATCTTCATACCAACAATTAATTAATCCCCATTCCCATTGTATGTCTAAATATAATAAAATATGTCATTTGGGGATATTGACCGGATTCCTGTGAATTAAAAACAGCATCCCAGAAATTATGGTCTTTAGATTAACGTTTTAGAAATACGTCATAATTATTTCCCGTTCAAGTTTCGGTATGTTGAAGTTATTATTCCCGTTTTCCAACCTGAGTGTGATATGATATACTTCTCAATTATTTGTTGTATTCTCCTAAAAATGTTTTAATACAATGTCAATCCAATTGAAAAAAATATTTAGAAAATTTTCAATAATTGACAAATGTAGGCTTAAAGGAATGAAACGCTACCGATTTTCGCCAAAAATATCTCAAAATTATTGTCTCAAGTATCCAGATAACCCTATAATATTCGGTATTTGGCTGTAATTTTACATTTTGGATGATCATTGAGTAGAAAATGTTCCTAACAAAATTTACCCAAGCTTCCGAAATCCATATAATGGAACTCAACATTATAGAATGCTTTGGGGATTTGGGCACCTTTTTCAACCTCAATTAGTTGTTTTATTTGGTGAGTCCAAAATCTCCTTACAAAGAATTATCAATATTGGTCAAAGTTTGTGGGTTGCACCCACATAATGGTATCCCCCTTAATTTCTCATGTTGTGTAGAATCTTCCTATCAATAATTAATATGTATCCATTCCCATTGTTGTAGTTAAATTAATTAATTCCGGGATATTGGGGGGACACATTTTTGCGACAAATACTACTTAGGTCCGAGTTTTGATATAGCATCTATATAGCATAATACCCCATTTATTATAAAGTATTACAAAGACATTGACCGAATTTCCTAATAGAGTTGACTAT